GCCATTTTCACTGCCTGGAATGCTCTTCTCTCTGCCTTGCATGGCTGACTCTGCTTGTCAACCAAATCTTGGCTCAAAAATGTCACCTCTGCCTGGCTGGTGTGGCTCAATGGTTGAGTATCCACCTATGAACCAGGAGCTCACTGTTCAGTGTGCCCTGACCAGGTTGCAGGCTCAGTCCCTAGCATGGGACATGCAGGAGGCAGCCTATCCACGATTCTCTCTCATTGATGTTTCTATCTCTTACTCTCTCTAAAATCAATAAAAATATATTTTTTTAAAGAAACAATGCCCATGGGCTTTAGCAAGATCACACTGGTCAAGTCTTGGCCACAGGTGAGGTTGGCCCCAGCCTGGGATCTGGGAAGGACCTACAGTGAACACATATCCAACACCTGCTGCATCCCAGGAGTTGGGGGCAAAAACCAGGCAGTGCCCCCCTCTCCCCACAGGACTCCTGGGTGGGAGGGGTGCCGAGTCTCCAGGAGGGGTGCCCATCCCCAGGGCTTGACAGAGACGGGACAGGAGGAGCCCAGTCTACCCTTAACCTCTGGTCTGCTCCTGGTTTATTTATTAAGCAACTGCTGTGAGCCCCGCTAAGGAAAAGAGGAAATCTCAGATGAAAACCGACACCAGGTACTCTCGTGGGACCTCCCGACAAGTGCTGGCTTCAGAGGGAGCTGGGGAGCCCGGCCACCAAGGGCGGCAGAGCACTGTCCTCGAGCGTCTGCGTAAAAATCACGCGGGGCCCGTTCAAAATGCCAACCACAGAGACTGGCACGGGGGCCTCAGGCCCCATTTTGAGAAACCCAAGGCGTGGAGGCCCAAATCCCTGCACGGGCCGTGTCGTCTTGGGCAACCCAGTTGACCGCCCTGGGCCTCAGTTTCCTCATCCCGAAAATGGAGCCACGTTCGACTCCCAGGGCTGCACCGACGGTGAAAGGACATCCCGCACCGCGCCCGGCCCGCAGGCAGCGCAGGAAGGGATGTGCTGTTCGCGGCGACCTTGGGGAAGGGTCTCCTACCGCAGCTCTGCCCCGGGGAGCGAGGAGAAGCCCGCAGCGGAGGGGCGCTCGCTGGGCGACCGCAGGCCGCCGCGCCCGCGCAGGCCCTGCCTCCTCCCGCCCAGCC